AATAACAATAATCTCCTTTAAAAGTATATTTCATAAATAAAATAAAAATATTCAAGTAGTTTCCTCAACTTTAATCTAAATTACCAACTACAAATACTCCATAATTTTAATATAAATAACTTCAATTCATATATTATCTATAATATTGATTATTAAAAAATATTTGAAATTTATTATCAAATATATATAAATTAATTATTAAAAAAAATACCTTCAAAGTGTAGTCTTCACGGCAGAAAATGGCGGTATTCACGGCAGTAGCGACGTCGCTTCCTCCGCTGTACAGCAGCGACACAGATCTGCAATAGCAATGCAAATCTGGAATAGAGATTCAGATTTGGAACAACAAACAGCAAACAGCAAATAGCAAAGCTAGAAGGACGGCGGCTGCGACAGAACGGCGGAATGGACGGCGACGCAGTGCAAGAGATAGCGACGCAACGCAACGCAGGAATGGTAACGGATGGCGACGTAGTGCAGGAGACAGTGATGCGATGCAACGTAGGAATGGTGACGGACGGCGATGCAGTGCGGGAACGGCAACACAGTGGGGGATCTGCGACAGATAGTGACGGACGGCGACGCAGTGCAGGAGACGGCGATGGAGAAAAGAAAGGTTTGAAAGAAAGAGAGAGAGGTTTGAAAGAAACTTAATGGAGAAAAAACGGACGGGAAAATAAATGAAGCTAGAAAACTCTTCCGGAACTCTTCCAGAGCGCTCGTCGAAAAGCGCTCCGGAAGAGCGTCTTCCGGAGCGGTCTTTCATGAGCGCTCTGGAAGAGTTCCAAAGGCTCTTCCTAAGCACTCGTGAAGGAGCGCTCCGGAAGAGCGTTCTTCCAAAGTTCTTTAGCAATCTTCCGGAGCGCTTAAGTACGAGCGCTCCCGAAGGTATTTTTAAATTTTTTATAACATTATATATATATATATATATTAATTAAGAGCGTTATCTTATTGATAAGCCTGACATACAGGAGCGCTTATTTAGAAAAACGCTCCGGTAAATTCCACATTCACATTTTAGAGCGCTTATTTAAAAAGCGCTCCTAAAGACCCACTCCTAAAGATATATTCTGTAGTAGTCCGTGGAATGACGATGCTTCCTCAAGTCAAAGATAACCTTTGCCTCTTATTTTTTTGGTCCACCAGGGAAAAAAATCATTATTCTCTCTTCTCTTAAACAGATTTTTTTCTATTTTGTTTAATTTTTTTAAAAATAAAACATAAAAGAGAAACAATTCCAAATGTACAAAAACACACACAATATATGTACGTACGTATGTATGTACAGACACAAGTTAAGTAAATAACTTATATCATAAGTCTGGCCAGGAAGTCAAATATATGTTTAGCATTTGTATATCATAATATCACTTTTCGCTTGACATATATTCAATGAAGATGATCCTAGAAATGTAGACCACTAGATTTTTTTTGAACCACACGATATTATCCAGGAAATTATCCGTCAAAACATTAATATCAAATAGTCAACGATCAGTATTAGTTGGCCTGAGTTGTTAATTAGGAAGGAGGTGAGTGGAATTGTATTATAAATTAATTTCTTCCCTTTGAATTTTCACATGAAAGAAAGCTTGAGGTCAATCTTTTGAGTTGTAAGCTTCAATTTCTATAATCGTATTTGAGAGAGCATGTTTGACTTCATTAACCCTATATAACATATATGTGTGTGTGTATAGGGCTGCTACGATATTTTATACACATACATGTGTGTGTGTTGATAGCTAGCTTCCTTCAAAAGGTTCCAATTGGCTGTTTCTGCCTTCCTTCCTCTTGTTAGGTCTACACATTTTTAAACCTATAAAATTTCACACGTTTAACATTCTCTCCACCTCAGCTTTTTTTTTTCTTTAGTTATTTTGGTAATTATTATCATGCATGTGGTGATTGCATAGTAGATCAATTGAAGCGGTTTTAATTTTTTTTCCTCTCTCGAATCAACCGCCGATCATCAGAACTTCGGTGGACGCGGTTTGGTTGTCGGCGGTCGGCCACCGGTGACAGTGACTGGAATATGTTTAAAAATAATAAAAGGTATTTTAATAACTTGCTATCAAAACATAATTTCTATTTAGTCCTTTGGTCCCAAAGTAAAATTTCAGAATCTATTGGGTGTGGTTTGAAGAAAAGTCACATCTCCTTTGTTGAAATTCTCCCCAGATTTTATTTTTTTTCTCTGGAATCAGTAAAAAGGAGCGGAGGGGGTACATACAAATTTTGAGAAAAATATTATCAAAATTTAAGTTTCTCAAACCTGGTTAGTTCCTTAAAATCTTATTGTAACTTTCTTAAAATTTAAGAGTATTTTCCAAAAACATTTTTACAAGTTAACAACCTATATATAACAGTTCTTAAGACCCAGAAGTATGATACAATATATATGCTGAATACAAAAAAATTTTAAAATTTTAAGATACAAATATATATATATGGGTGGCATATAAATATGAATATGTAATTACGTACTCCCACCGTTACAATTTATAAAACTTTTTTTAACAAAATTACATATCCCGGTGAAGTTTAATAAATAAAGTTTACAACCTTAATTTTTCTATAAATTTCCAAAAATCCCTTCAATGGGAGCTTTTCTTTCTCTATCAGTGGGAGTTCTTTTCTATGACCTTTGTTTTCCAATGCCTCTGTTGCTGGCTTTTGCCGTGAGAGGAGCGTATGGCGTGGATGAGTATGGGATTGGTTTTCTGAGTCTTTATGTTGGGGTGTGTTGTTTCCTCCTTGGATCTAAGTTGTTGAGAAGGAAATAGGGATTTGATTGGTGTCGGGGAGGCAAAGAATGTCTATCCAAAAGATTGACAATTTGCACCATGGTTAGTTGTGGGTTTTGTAACTTCTTATTGTAGGCAAAGAGGTATGAGGTTTTTTCAATATAGATCTTGATAATTTTGATTTGTTGTTGGGGGTCTCAACTTTGGCTTCTCAATTTAATTGGTGATGGTTTGCGGTAGAGATGGGGGTGCTTTTTTTTTTTTTTTTTATGATGCTAGAAGCTAGTTTATTGCTATTGCTGATGGTGGAATCTGATGCATGGGGTGTTAAATTTGCTATTTGGATAATAGTTACTTCCTTGAGTCCTATTTATATGACAGAGAGAGAAATTTTTTTTTATCCTATTTATAAGTCACATCATTAAATTTCATTATAATTTTTCTTTTTTGCCCTCTATTAAATGTTAGAGAGAGAAAATATGTTATTAAAGTGAGTATATTTAATAGGGATAAAGTTGAGGACTTATTAAATTTTAAGATAAAGTTAATAAGTTTTAAAGTTTTTCTTAATACTAATAAAATATGTTAGAAGTCACTTATAAATAAAACCAAAAGAGTATTGTTTACATAAGAATGAGACTGTTAGGATGGTTTTATGAACTACGATCCCTATTTTTCAATGTGACTTTTAGTTTCTTGAAGTTTTCACCACAATAGCAACATTTTTTGCTATCTAGCTCCATTTTAAGGCTTGGGATGTATTTGTGGTGTTGTTTATTTTCTATCTTTGTGTCATTTTGTATTGGGTTTATTGTTTTTTTTTATTGTGTTGTTTTTTATTTGCATTTTGTTCGTTGTACCTTATTTGTCTTTGTAAACGCTACAGTTGTCAATGATATTTTATGTTTCTGACCCAAAAAAAAAAACCTTCATTAACAAGAGAGAGGGAAGACAATTTATTTAAGGGGTGAAATAATGAGTATTAATATTGGAATAATTATCATTAATAAAAACCTTTTTTTTAGAAACGTCTTATATTTTGTGAATCCTTTTTATTTTAATTAAATAAGTATTTAAAAAGTAGCATAGAAATATTAACAACAGAACTAATTAGAACATGTTTTAAAAAAATAATAACAAATTACCGATTTTTTTTTGAAATATCCACATTGCACCGGCTAGAATATTGGCTTCCCCTCAACCCGGGGGGGGGGGGAGGGTTTAAGCATCTTGTTGAAACCTAATGTTCATTCAAATTCAAGTATTTGATCCGTTTCCAAGCAATTCGGATAATGGTTAAAATTCTCTTGTTAAGCTGTTGATCCATTTTTTAAAAATATAACACAATTAAAAAACCAATAAAACCAAAAATATATAAAGATGATAGAATAAGATTTAAATTCTCGATCCCTAAATTTTTTGTAAAGTTTTCCTCTTTTTTTTTTGGAAAAAAAGAAGATTTTATATTTTATGTAAAAATAACAAAATAAGAAAAACACTAAAAAAAGAAAGTTTCACATACAAAAGTTTAGGAATCTTAACTTTAAAGGATTTAAACCCAATAGAATACATTATGTGTATTACAAGGCACAATATGCGCATATTATACTGACATATACATATTGCATTTTGCCCCCCAAATATGATCGATACTTTATAAGATTAAAATTTTAGAGATCATTTAACCCGGAATTTTTTAAACTTGAGTCTAGCAAGAAAACCCATTTGCATTTGAATCTTGAAGGAAACAAGGAACTAACGGCCGGGAAGAAACCTAACCTTATTATACGAGTAAACCAAAATTACTCAAATTTTTTATGTTGCTAATTAATAATGTAAGCATTTGTTTCCAGACGTTTTTGTTTATTGGTGGACAAGTAAGCTAACAAGAAGAAAGAAGCATTAGCTTCTAAAACGATCGATATGGCTTTTAAATTATGTCAAATGGTACTAAAAAAATGAACTTGTGATAAGAGAGATAATCGAGTTGACTTATGCATAATGGTCAGCGATCGACATGTTCATACTTATCATCTTTTGATGTGCATCTTATTAGTTATAATTAAATTAATTCAACAATATATATTTATTACTAGATAGCTCTGGAAATATATACGCCAACATATTTGTTGGTGATATAATAATAAGTTTTAAAATAAGAGACAAAGATGATAATGAACTAATGATGAGGACGGTATATTCCTTCGGGTAATATGAGGTATTTCAATTTTCAAAGTTAAGAAGAGGAAGCAAACATGGCAGAGTTCAAACTTTTACACATTGAAAAAAATGAAATGAAACTAGGAATATATCAAAAAAAATGAGTTTACATCAACAAACGAAAAACCAAATCAATCAACTTTTGCCCTTTTTTGTAGAACTTACACGTTGTATATATCTATATACATGCACAAAGAATAAATTAAATTTTATTGAAAATTCATGGTGGATTGATACCTAGCTAGCTACTACATATTCTATATTCTAGGCATCTAATTGTTATTTTGCAGCTAACAAAACCTTATTCAAAGTAGAGACAAACAAACCAATCAAGCAAGAAATCAGATATTGACCTTCACGTGCAAATGAACCCCAAAAAGTTGTAAAATTCAATATTCAGGAAGCTCTTTGATGAATTCCAACCCAGAAGGTGAAATCAAAGTACCCAGCATACCAAAGAGTGAATCAGAATGCTTATACACCGATCTAGAGTAGGGACTCAAGAAATCTGAAGAATTCGGTGTAAATAGAGGTATATCAGCATAATTAAATTCTGCAGAACCAGTAGTATGTCTATATACTGGCACCGATGGTGATGACGAGCTCGTAATCTCGTTATTAGCTTCAGAAGTACCGTGCTTATTCTCTTGTTTAATACTGCTAATAATCGATTCGTCGGACAAGGAAGACTCCAGGTTCTCGGTGCCGGCGCCGGAAACAGCAATAACGTCTTTGTCTTTAGGACGGGGCATGCCGGTGAGCTTCTGAACCAGAGCCATGAAATCTTGAGGCTTGGTATGGATGGTCTTGGGTGAGTGCGCGTAGATGATGATGGGCTTCCTTATTTGTTGCTGTTGATGATGATGATGGGGTTTGGGATTCGTGGTGGTCGTCGTCTCTGTGACGGAGGAGGCATGCAGCGGCGCCAGCGAAGATGAAGGTTTTCTGATGGAATGGGAGCTTCTGTTGATCATCAAAGGAGAGGGACGTGGGCCTTTGATGAGATCCTTGGATGAGTGCTGGAAGCCATGGAAGCTTGAAGAAGCTGGTGGTGGGCTCATCTTCTTGGTGATGACAGAGATTGAATGTTGAAACTGCAAATGCTGTTTGATGAAGAAAGAAGCATGGAAGTGATATTTATAGAGGAAAATTTTGTAGCCAACGATTCTGACTGTTGACGGAGGACCTTGTTTGTTTGTTTTTTTTTTCTTTTTGGTGAAAATGACATGGAAAGATTTATTATTATTATTTTGGAGGAAGACATGGTAAGGGTTTGTTTATGTGACGGCGTTCTGTAACTTTTTGATGGCTAAATTTTAGATAAAATTATCTGAGATTAGTCTATGCTTTTTTATTGAACAAAAGTTTCATTTTGTTAGAGAAAATCTTGTTGATGTATGGTAAGACATTAAATATAGGTATTTTTTTGTGGAAGAAATTCAAATTTTAATTCACTAAAAAACCTAATTTCTAGTAGACCATGCTCTTAAAGTTGTTAGAACTTTTAAGCCTTCAACATAGTTGGCTTTTGCCTTTATCTGTACAGTTCTCTCTAATGAATTTCCACTTTCCACTAAAACAAAAAACAAAAAAACCTCTTCTGAAGTTACGCTAGACTCAATCACTATGGGTTAGGAGCTTAGGATTAGTCTTTTTTTTTTTTTTTGTTGGCAGCAGATATTTTTGGTCTCATCACTAAAAAAAATTCTGTAAGAACAACATAACTTCTAGCGGATCCTTAATTAAATTTTCTCTCAATTATTAATTTAGTTCTTAAATTTTAATTCAATACAATTTAATTTTTATAATTTATTAAGTTAAAAAATTATAAAAATTGAGTTATACTATGCTAAGTTAGAAACTAAAAATCTAGTTGTTATAAGTCTAAGAAGCTATAGGATTTGAGTTGTTCGTGGCCAAAGCTCATAAAATAAATTATTTTGAATTAACTGTTATAATTATTTAGAAAATTAAATTCGTGTTCATATTTATCATTTTTTTTTACTCCATCATTTGATATCTCGAAAAATTTGTATTCATATTTAGAAATATTATCACTTTTTTTTTAAACTAATTCAGACTTCTATCATGTGAAATCATTATTATTAATAATGTCCGGGAGAACGCATATGGTATATTTATTTAGGAAGTATCTTATCTCATTATAACAACCTATGATATGCTAGTTACATCAAATCTTATTGTGACAAAATTATTATTAAATTTGAGGGTCATAAAAAATAACCGATTATATAATAGTGTAGAAAATTAATGCCTCGTGCTTATAGTTTGTTTAGTGATAGATCCAGGTAATATCTACGCCTCCATTGCTGTACTTCAATTCTGAGCATGGTTGGCTAAAATAATAATATTTTAACTTTTTAATTACCCCACCTGAGCTTTTGTTTGCTTGCGTGGAATATTAAGCTGGTTGGTAATTACGTGTTTATATATGTAATAACTCTAAGAAATCAGCCCTACAAATTTGAATTATTTGGTAATGAAGGGATTTGGCATTATTTAATTAATTGGGGATACATCCAGTGTGTGAAATGGGTTGGTATGAAATTCCAAGGATGTTTACGTCATGTGCTAGGTTGCTGGAGACCAGAGTAGAAGTCATTGCCTAATATTGAAACCGCAGTCAATAATTTAAAAATCAAACCCAACCAGTTAGAGCCGTTAATAGCTCAGTTTGAATCAAAAAATTATTTTTATAATTAAACTGAATTGGATCTTGAATTGCTAGAGTCTGAAATCAGAGTGAAACTGAAAACCAGGGTAGTTTTCAAAAAATTGGATGGTTTTAAACCTAATATTTAAAACAGCTTAAAAATTTTTAAAAACTAAAAAAAATTAAAAATTAAATTCTATTAAAAGTCAACTTTATTTTTAAATAATTCACATATATAATATATAATTTGAGACTTTTTTTTATAAAGATGTTGATAATTATATATGTAAATACAGATATTTTTAAGTCCATTTATATCTAATTTAATTAAGATTCACCTATATTGAAGTAAAATTATAAATTATAATATTATTAATTTACATTCATGTTATGTCATTTTATTAACATGCAATAGATTTTTTTATTTATTATATATATTTAATATTATTTTTATTTAAATCTTACTTCATCAGTTTTACTATTGATCCAACTTGATTTGATCCTGCAAATTGTGAATCACTAATCTTTCTGATTCAATATCCAGTTCAGTTCTAAAAATATTAGTTGGAATTAATTAATATAAAGTATAACTTGAATAAATAAAATTAAAGGCCCCATTAATTAAATTAAATTAATCAAAAAATTATTGGCCCAACTATTACTCCCTTGATTAAAAAATATAAAATATTTTTAAAATAAAATATTCAAAATATAAAGCATTTTGGATCTTTTAATATGTAATTAATGAGTTTTTTTTCAAAATATCTTTAATTAAGGATGTAATTAATAAAATTTTCTAATTGAAATACTCTATTAAATAAAAATAAATATAAAAATATATATAATTTTAAAGATAATTAACTAACTCATTAAAATTTGAAACAGGTTGTTAGATCCTCCTTATGATTTAAATATTGATAACTCAAAAAATATTATACCAAATAAAGTTTAAGATATCAATTTACTTTTCTAGACAAACTTCTGGAGCAAATTGCTCTTTAATCATATTTAGGTGAAAACCTTTTGGAGCAAACTTCTGGTGAAAATCTTTCAAAATAAATTTATCCTTTAACCTTTGTATGAGTATATAAAATCTCTCATTTAGGAATGTCAATTATGACATATGATTAAACTCTATTACTTTACATATATTTTATCCAAAAACTTTATATTGCACATAAAAATGGGAATGTTTGTAAAAATATTAAAATCTTAAATAAAACATTATTGTGGGACCCATCTTTAATTAAAAATTTGTGTTGAAAGGCAAGACTTTTAACAATTTTTACCTGCAAGTTGGCCTTTGACCTGGAGAATATCAGATCATTGAACGTGATGTAATATCAACTTTTAATAATTTTTTCTTTTGTTTTTTTTCAAGTTTTCCCAATGAAAACAGCAACACCAAAGTCAATAATTTACAAAGTTCTACCAAAAGAAAATCAAAAGGCTCAGAAATAAGAGGAGAAAGCAGACACATATTATAGACCTTGCGATATTTACTATGATGGGGAAGAAAAATGGTTCATCTTAAATATCAATCAATCAATAAATTAATTAATAAAAATATAAGATAAACAAGTGTAAGTTGCCCCCACCAAAGAAAAAAGAGTGTGCGTAAACATGAAGATTAAAGCAAAAAGGTGTAGAATTAATCATGTGTTCGTACCAATCCGAGGAGTTGGTTTGAAAATCGAAAATAGTCAAGCAACAATATAATAATATTTTTTCCATAATAATATATACACATATGTAGTAAATATTGTAATACATAGTTATAATATAAATGACCGACCAAGTTAAGATAAATAACATAACTGGAACATCGTTTGAGGAGAAAATGATACTTGAATTAGTTCAGATAGTGTTAATAACAACTTATACTCCCTCCATTAAAAAATATAAGATATTTTTTGAGGAGTTTGATATTTAAAAATATAAAATATTTTTAATCTTTCGAGATGTAATCATTACTTTTTTTTAAAAGTATCCTTATTGATAATGACTTTATATTTATTATACAGTAGTTAATAGGAGTAAATATAAAAAGATAGGGTTAGTTGAAAAGTAAGTAATTACTTTATTGAAGGGTAAGATTCGGTTAAAAATGTCTTATATTTTTTAACGGAGAAAATATATCTCATCTCATATATATATATATATATATATAAAATTCTGCTAAATGGTTACGATTCTGCTTGATTAATTAATGCAAAAAATTATTTTTATTAATTAAAGGAAAATAATTTGGTGAACTTGACTGATAGATAGATAATTTCGCTCCAAATTGAACAAAATAAGGTTAAAAATTTAGGGATTTCCATTTTTTTGTGGGAGACTACCCAATAAGTTTAGGCTTTGGTTTGTTTATTTAATAAATTATATATAATTAGTTTATAATTATATAAATATATTTTTAGCACATTTTATCATTATTATTCTTTTCAACATTTAAACATATAAATTTGTAAAATAGCTAGTTTGAAAACACAACTTAAAATGTAAAAAAAAAAAAAGAATTACCAATTCGAATTAGTTCAATTGGTTCGAATTGATTCCCAATTTCAAAGTAGACTAAGGCTTTGTTTGGATAGAGAGAAAAGTGAAGAGAAAATTTGGAGAAGAGAAATTGTTTTTTTTTTAAAATAATTTTTTATTATTTTTAAAACTTTTACACCCTTATTTTTTTATTCCTATTTTTTTTCCAATCAAATGAAGGGTAAGTGCTTTGTTGGTTTTCTAGTTGAACCGGCAAATTAGTCTTGTTTGGCTTGTCATTCCTCGAAAACAACTCCAATGTCCTTTACCTTCCAACTTGATGTTGTCTATTAATTGAGAACTATAATTATCATTTTTTTTATTTTTTTTTTAAAATCAAACCATCCGCTATCTTATAGTCATGTTATATTTTTTACTAAATTAGCATAGGACCACCATATCGTGGAAATTTTTTTAAAAAAAATTTATATTTACTATGCATAATATAATATTAATTGAAGCTACTAATAATGGCAAAATCATATATAATTTCGTTATAATAATTTCTTGTATAATATGATTTAAACTCATGTCATTGTGGAATATGAGTTGAATTATTATTAACTGGGGCAACATTTATTAATTGTGTTATATAATTTCATTATCCACGTGGCATTTGACTTAAGCTCTTGCTTCCACTACCATGGCATAAAGTTTGAATGTGTGTTGAAAGGGATGAAACCGTGGAGGCGTGTTACGTGTACGGCTTTGAAGCCGGCAAAATCAAATGTTACTTTACCGATTTATAATTAATTGCTAAACTAGCCAGTAGCTGGGCACTATTTATTTATTATTCCTTGTTGCAAAACTCAACGTAAAATTAAAAAAATAATTAAAACTAACAATTAAGCAGACCCACCAACGATTTTAACATTCGTGTGGAATCCTTTGACCAACATATATAG